TACCAAATGGACTTAATTCAGAGATTCTCAAGGCCAGGCTCCCACTGTGCAGACCATCTCTGTCCAACTCTCGCCTTCCATTATATTCCTCCATCTGCTCACCATCCAGGTCCTCTCCATTTCGGTAGAGGTGCACCGTTTCAGAGAGTTGGTGCCGGATCCACCTGATCTCCAAGCTTCAAGCATCCATGTGTGGTGACAAGTGACAGGGCAGCACGATGTCCTGCCCCACGGTGGCAAGGAGAGGTTGCCTTGGTCCCACCACTCTGAAGTCCGCTGGGTGACAGAGAAGGACACAGAGGGAGGGAGGTTGCACCCATGTTAATTTACGGGCATCGCATGGGAAGGGGCCAGCTTGGAGTGAGCGGTGCCCACTCCATCCCGTGGGTGTTGCTTTGCCCTCCCCATGGCCCAAAGACACTGGAGAAACTGGAGAGGGAGCAGGAGGACTCGAAGGAGAAGGAGGATTCCTCGGGGTGGGAACTTGTCCGGAAAATCATGATCCCCCAGCCCAGCCAGGCCTTGCAGAGGGGACAAAAGCTTTGGGGGAGCACCGCAGGGTGGGACTGAAGATGCCCCAGGGCAATGGACATATCGCATCACAAGACCAAGGGAAAGTGAAAGCCATGCATGGCCGAGCTCTGGGCTCAGTTCATCCTGCCCCACAGCACCTCCCCTGCCCCACATCGGCCACCCAGAGCACACTCAGCCCCCCCAGCCCTGCAGGATCCCTACCTGATCCCAACCGGAGGAGGTGGAGAGTCAGGAAAGGACTGAGGAGGCCCCATGGGCTCCTGGGGAACCCCATCTGCGTCCGGAGCTGGAGAAGAGGGTGGGAAGGGAGGCAGAGGGAGGGCAAGGGGGGGTTACAGCCACCATGGAGGGGATGGGGAAGAAGGGCTGCACCTGCCCCCAACGGGGCTCCAGAAATCCCACCAAACCACCTGTACCCTGACGTCGGAAGGAACCCTTGGTCGAGGGCAGGACAGGATCCACGCACAGCTCCCAGTGCAGCCCCTCCTCTGTCCCACTGCCCTCCCCAAGATTTACTCAAAATCCCTTCCAAAGACTTGAAATTAATTCAATATTCTAATTCCCTTGCAGAAAGGAAATTCACTCACCGAGCTGTAGGAGCTGCACCCACCATCTCCAACCTTTGTTCGTTTCCAGGATCCAGAATTCCGGGAAACGGTTTAAGGCTCCACCTCCCTCGTTGTGAGCTCAGATTCCTCATCCAGAACTCAGCCAGATCAACAAGCCCAGAGTCTTAAAATGAACTGCCAGTGCTAAAGCAGTGATGCGAAACCATCACCCTCCCCGTTCCTGGATGGGAGGGGGTGGAGGTGGCTTTTCCCAGGGCTGCGTCTCTCCCAGCAGCCTGTGCTGGGGCAGGGACATCAGTGAGGTTTTGCACCCAGAAATAGCCAGGGTTTTTTCCCCAGAAAGGGCTGATTTTCCTGTGTACGGCCATTGTTGCAAAGGAAGGAGCAAAGTTCTAACCAGGCCATGATAAATCATTCACCTGCACTGTTTTTTATTGGTGTTTCAGGACATTTGTCTATTCAGGATCAAAACTCAACAGCCCAAAAATCCCAGGAACCAAAAAAAAAAAAAAAAGAAAGGAAAGGAAAAAAAAAAAGATAAGAAAGGAAAAAAAAAGACAAGTGAGGAAAATGAAGGATCATAGGTTTTTTGGGGGAGGATATTGTGTAGGATGGAGAGCTTTGTTGTGATTTTTGGACATGGGAGTGGAGCCCAGCAGTGTCCCTGCAGCCCCACAACAGCCAGGAGCCTGTGGGGAGCCAGGGACAAGATGGGATTTGGGGGGGCCTTGAAGTGTGGGGACACACCAGCTGTGCCCTGTCACCTTGGGGACCTCCCATCCCTGGGGAGGAGGTGTCCCTTGCTGTCCCCAGTGTCCCACCTTATGCATGGCAAGCCCATGCCCAAAATAAGGAGTGCAGGATGGTGCAGGGTGGGAATGTTTCCATAGTAAGCAGGATTTTTCCCCCCAAAAAGGGCTGATTTTGCTGTGTACAGCCATTGTCGCAAAGGAAGGAGCAAACCCCAGACCAGTCTATGATGAATCATCCACCTGTGCTGGTTCTGTTCCATCCATCTTTTGGGGGGTTTTATTGGTGTTTCAGGACATTTGTTTATTTGGGAAGAAGTCTCGTCAGCCCATCAGTCTCAGGAACTTTCTATGTAATAATTCCAGTTCTCAGTTTGGCCTCGGCTGAGGAATGGGGGGAACACGAGGGAGGTCACCAACATGACCAAGGGGGGTTCCATCTCATCTGCCCCACGCTCAGTACAAAACCATTTGGCGCACAGAGGGATGCTCCTGGTGAGTACATGCCGGGCAGAGCCCAGGGGATCCAAGGGGTTGCAAGGGGTTCCAGAGGATCTGAGAGGATTGGAGGGGGATCTGAGGGGATCCAAGGAATTCCAAGGGGACTAAGGCAGTCAGATGTGTTCAAGGGTGTTCCAGCACAGCTCCAAGGGGATCCAAGGGGTTCTAAGGGGGCCCAAGGGGATCTAAGGGTTTCCAAGGGGCTTCCAAGAGGTTCCCTGGTGATCCAAGAGGGCTCAAGGGGTTCCAAGAGGGACCAAGGTGGGACCATGATGGTCCAAGAGGTCCCTTGCCCCCCAGCATGGTTTAACCCCAGCCAACGGCTCCCTCACTTCCCACCTCCCCCTCAGTAGGTTGGTGAGAAGAGGGAGAGAAGGATGGGAAGTCACTTTGTGGGTTGGAATGAAGTAAACAGTTTAAGACAACAGTTACAGGAGAGGAAAATAACATTATTCATTGTAAAAAAATATACAAAATAAAGTGATACAACACCAGTTGCCCTCAGTACCTGAGGACTGATTGCCCAGCTCATCCTCGGCAGTGATGGAGGGTCCCAGCCCCCAGGCAGCCCCTATTTCTATGCCCAGCAGGACGTCTGTGGGGTGGAATATCCCTTTGGTTGCCTAATCCTGGCCGTGCTCCCTCTCGGCTGCGAGGGGAAGCCAGAAAAGCCTTTAACTGATGTGAACATTTCTCAGCCACGTATATAATCATGTGTGACCAATGGCATTCTCACACTAAATCCAAAATGTAGCTGATACTAGAAAGAAAATTAACTCCATCAAAGCTGAAACAAGGACACCCCCCCCTGCTCGGAGACCCCACAGCAGCCCCTGATCTCACTCCCACTCTGGGGCAGGGCAGGGAGGGACATCTCCTGCAGGGTCCAGGAGAGGAGCACAGGGAGTCTCTGGAAAAGGACAGGGTCTGCTGGAGCCAGTGGTGGGGATGGAAGTGGGGCTGAAGGTTTAGCAAGTGCTGCCCCTGAGGCACAGCTGGGTTTCCTCTGTCTCCAGCAAAAACCAGGGGCGCAGGGTCTCCCTGCGGAACGAGACTGGTGAGAAAGTGAAGATCTCACCCCCAGTGTCAGCGTTGAGGAAAGTCACCAGCCCCTGTGTGCAGTCCAGACAGACCAAGATCCTCCTGGGGAGCGGGGACAGGGACAGGGGGGTGGGAGGAGAGGTGAGAGCCCTGAACTGCCCTTCATACCTGTCAACTGCCCAGATCCCTTCTTCAGGCCTCAGATCCACTCTCCTCTTCCTCTCCACAGACTCTCTGGCCACCCCAACACCCCACCATGAATCGCCTCCCACCTCCCCCTTCACCTCCACCTCCCAGCAGTGCCTCCCCTCCCAGAACCAATTCTGGCCCAGCACACAGTGCCAATGACTAAATCTCCTGGTGTGGTCAGTCAGGTTCTGGCATGCGGGTCCATGCTTCATGCTTCTCAAATCCTTCGACAGGACAAGCTCTGGATGAGCTGTGATTGGATCCAGGGTCACCACATCTGCAGGGGACAGGAGGAGTCAGAGCATCAGAGCTCAGTGCTGGGCAGGTTTCACCCCCAACCCCAGGGCCAGGAGGGACCCAGTGGGGCAGGAGACTAGGCATCTTCTTTCCTTCTCTCCATCTCCGCTACGGGGATGGCCCCACCACAGCCATGGCCAAGCTCAGTCCCACGGGAAGAGGCACTGGTGCAGCTGCAGCCCCAAGGGAGTAGCAGGATGGGGAGAGGAGCTGGTCTGGGCAGTGAAAGGGGTCTCAGGAGGAGATGGCACCTCTGGGGCACCACGGTGTAAATCAGAACGGGGTTGAATGGCAAGAAAACAGGGGTGAGATCCAGCCCAGTGCCATGGACCGGGGGGGTCAGAGTCACCAACACACCTGGGCATGGCCAGTCCCTTTGCTGGACAGCCCAGTTACACCTCAGACAGAGGGAAAGGGAGAAGAAACACCCATAAAAGAACATAAAAAAAAATTAAAAAAAATACACATTACCTGGATTCACCGGGGGGGTCAGAGTCACCAACACACCTGGGCATGGCCAGTCCCTTTGCTGGACAGCCCAGTTACACCTCAGACAGAGGGAAAGGGAGAAGAAACACCCATAAAAGAACATAAAAAAAAATTAAAAAAAATACACATTACCTGGATTCTCAGGAAGCAGAAAGTTTCTCCAAGCTAGAAGGAGAGATAAGAGCAGGTGACACGACTTGGCCCATCCACAGTGGCTCTGGGAAGGGCAAAGGTCCCATCCCTGGTCTGGGGATCGCAAGCTGCCCATCCCTCTGGGCACATCCCATTGCAGTTTCCCCAGATCCAGGGGATGCAGGGATGGAGAGGATGGGCAAGAGGGGAAGGGGTCGAGTACAGAGAGACCAGGAGAGGACACTGATCCAGGAGGAGTTCACAGAGACTCACCCAGTGCTGCATCTCGTTGCTCTGGAAAGGAAAAACAGAAGCAATGAGTGACGAGAGGGGACAGCTTCTCACCCCGTGGCCTGTCCTGTAGGAGTGGGAAGAGGTTGGACAGATGCCTAGTTCCTTCTGATGGGGAGTGGGAACAGACCCCCAAAGCCTGTGAATGGCTCCCTCCAACCTCGTCATGTCCTTTGGCTGGTCCCCAAGGATTCTGGACATGGGAGAAGTTCCAGCCCTGCCCTGGTGTCCCCGAGCTGCCCACCCCACAAGGTACATCCCCTCAGGGTTTGCCCAGACCCAGGGGATGCAGGGATGGAGAGGATGGGCAAGGGGCAAAGGGGCCGAACATAGAGGGCCCAGGAGAGAACATCGAGCCAGGAGGAGGTCATGGTTACTCACTCAGCAGTGCACGTTTTTTCTCTGGAAAGCAAAAGCAATAATTGGTCAGAAAGGACAGCTTCTCACCCCATAATTACTCAGGAAAGATAAACAGAGCTGGGGAAACCCTAAATTCCTCCTTTTTAGGGAGTGGGGAGAAGAACAACCCATAAAAGAACATAAAATAAAAATACACATTACCTGGATTCTCAGGAAGCAGAAAGTTTCTCCAAGCTAGAAAGAGAGACAAGAGCAGGTGACATGACTTGGCCCATCCACAGTGGCTCTGGGAAGGGCAAAGGTCCCATCCCTGGTCTGGGGATCGCAAGCTGCCCATCCCTCTGGGCACATCCCATTGCAGTTTCCCCAGATCCAGGGGATGCAGGGATGGAGAGGATGGGCAAGAGGGGAAGGGGTCGAGTACAGAGAGACCAGGAGAGGACACTGATCCAGGAGGAGTTCACAGAGACTCACCCAGTGCTGCATCTCGTTGCTCTGGAAAGGAAAAACAGAAGCAATGAGTGACGAGAGGGGACAGCTTCTCACCCCGTGGCCTGTCCTGTAGGAGTGGGAAGAGGTTGGACAGATGCCTAGTTCCTTCTGATGGGGAGTGGGAACAGACCCCCAAAGCCTGTGAATGGCTCCCTCCAACCTCGTCATGTCCTTTGGCTGGTCCCCAAGGATTCTGGACATGGGAGAAGTTCCAGCCCTGCCCTGGTGTCCCCGAGCTGCCCACCCCACAAGGTACATCCCCTCAGGGTTTGCCCAGACCCAGGGGATGCAGGGATGGAGAGGATGGGCAAGGGGCAAAGGGGCCGAACATAGAGGGCCCAGGAGAGAACATCGAGCCAGGAGGAGGTCATGGTTACTCACTCAGCAGTGCACGTTTTTTCTCTGGAAAGCAAAAGCAATAATTGGTCAGAAAGGACAGCTTCTCACCCCATAATTACTCAGGAAAGATAAACAGAGCTGGGGAAACCCTAAATTCCTCCTTTTTAGGGAGTGGGAAAACACTCCCTGGGTCCCAAGGGATGGCTCCTTCCAGCCTGGTCATGTCCCATGGCTGGTGCCCAGGGACTCTGGGAAGGGGAGAGGGTCCATCCCTTGTCTGGTGTCCCCGAGTTACCCAGGCACGTCTCCTCGTCATTTGCCCATACCCAGGGGATGCAGGGATGGAGAGGGTGGGCAGGAGGGGAAGGGGCCGAATACACATCCCACAGGAGAGGACATCAAGTCAGGAACTGCTCACGGAGACTCACCCAGTTCTGCATTTTGTTGCTCTGGAAAGGAAAAATAGAAGCAATGAGTGATGAGAGAGGAGATCCAGGAGGAGTTCACAGAGACTCACCCAGTGCTGCATCTCGTTGCTCTGGAAAGGAAAAACAGAAGCAATGAGTGACGAGAGGGGACAGCTTCTCACCCCGTGGCGTGAGCAGGCAGAGTACGGGCTGAGCCCAAATTCCTTCTCTTTGGGAAATGGGAAAAGGCCCCTTGGCTCACAGCAGGGGATCCTGCCCTCCGATCCCCACCCCAGACCATCCACGCACTCTGCAGTTACGCCTGACTTCAGCAGAGATTTAAGGTTCAGCCTGATTTAAGCTCAGTCAGTACTGGTCCCTGCTTCTTCCCATGACCCAGGACACCTCCTGGGCTCAGTTCCCAACCCCAGGGCTCTCTAGGTCCCTTCTGGGCTCCAGCAACACACATCAATGACCAGAGAAACAGCAAGAAACATGCAAATCCACATCCCTCCCAGAGGGAGGCTTTGCTGGTGGCAGGGGCCAGAAGGACTCACCCAGTGCTCTGGACTGCACCACTGGAAAGCAAAGGCAGAGGAAGAGAAGGTCAGGAGAGCAGCTGCTTCATCCCTGGCACCATCTCCCCAGGGTCTCTTGGACCTTCCCACGTGACAGATGCTCTGCCCATGCTCCCTCTCCTGCCACCCACAACCCGTGTCCTTCTCCCCATCCTTCCTTTGCCCAAAGAGCTTCCATAATGAAGGCAAAACATCGTGGTGATGCAAACTCACCTTTCCTTCGGAAGAAGTAAGCACTGAGGGTAGTTGCTGCTCACGGAGACTCACCCAGTTCTGCATTTTGTTGCTCTGGAAAGGAAAAATAGAAGCAATGAGTGATGAGAGAGGAGATCTTCTCAAGAGACACCTGCAACTACAGGAGTGGGCAGAGGCCAAATTCCTTTTAAGAGTGGGAGACCACTCCATGGCTGCTCCTGTAGGAGTGGGCAGAGCTTGGACAGATCCCAAATTCCTTCTGATGGGGAGTGGGAACAGACCCCAAAAGCCTCTGAATGGCTCCCTCCAACCTCGTCATGTCCTTTGGCTGGTCCCCAAGGATTCTGGACATGGGAGAAGTTCCAGCCCTGCCCTGGTGTCCCCGAGCTGCCCACCCCACCAGGCACATCCCCTCAGGGTTTGCCCAGACCCAGGGGATGCAGGGATGGAGAGGACGGGCAAGGTGTGAAAGGGTAAGCATAGAGGGCCAGGAGGAGAACATCGAGCCCGGAGGAGCTCACAGAGACTCACGTCATGGTTACTCACTCAGCAGTGCACGTTTTTTCTCTGGAAAGCAAAAGCAATAATTGGTCAGAAAGGACAGCTTCTCACCCCATAATTACTCAGGAAAGATAAACAGAGCTGGGGAAACCCTAAATTCCTCCTTTTTAGGGAGTGGGAAAACACTCCCTGGGTCCCAAGGGATGGCTCCTTCCAGCCTGGTCATGTCCCATGGCTGGTGCCCAGGGACTCTGGGAAGGGGAGAGGGTCCATCCCTTGTCTGGTGTCCCCGAGTTACCCAGGCACGTCTCCTCGTCATTTGCCCATACCCAGGGGATGCAGGGATGGAGAGGGTGGGCAGGAGGGGAAGGGGCCGAATACACATCCCACAGGAGAGGACATCAAGTCAGGAACTGCTCACGGAGACTCACCCAGTTCTGCATTTTGTTGCTCTGGAAAGGAAAAATAGAAGCAATGAGTGATGAGAGAGGAGATCTTCTCAAGAGACACCTGCAACTACAGGAGTGGGCAGAGGCCAAATTCCTTTTAAGAGTGGGAGAACACCCCCCAAACCCTGTGAATGGCTCCGTCCAGCCTGGGCAAGTCCAAAAATCTCTCCCCAGAGACTCTGCTGAGGGGAGAGGGTCCATCTCTGCTCTGGTGTCCATGAGATGCCAAACCCCAGGCATCTCCCCTCAGGGTTTCCCTGGACCGAAGGAATGCAGGGATGGAGAGGATGGGCTCTGGTGTCCCTGAGCTGCCCACCCCACCAGGCACATCCCCTCGTTGTTTACTCAGACCCAGGGGATGAAGGGGTGGAGAGGACGGGCAAGGTGGGAAAGGGTAAGCATAGAGGGGCAGGAGGATGACATCGAGCCCGGAGGAGCTCACAGAGACTCACCCAACAGTGCAGCTTGTTCCTCTGGAAAGCAAAAGGAATATTTGGTCAGAGAGGACAGCTTCTAATCACAAAAGTGCTCAAGAAGGAGTAAGCAGGGCTGGGGAATCCCCAATTTCCTCCTTTTTGGGGAGTAGGAAAGCACTTCTGGGTCCCCCCAGGGATGGCTTCCTCCAGCCTGGTCATGTCCCATGGCTGGTCCCCAGGGAGTCTGGGCAGCGGAGAGGGTCCATCCCTGGTCTAGTGTTCCCGAGTTGCCCAGCCCCCCAGGCACCTCCCTCGGGCAGGCCCAAACCCAAGGGTTGCTGGGATGGAGGGGATGGGGAAGGTGCCAAGCACAGAGCACCCGGGAGGGGACACCAAGCCAGGAGGAGCTCACGGAGACTCACCCAACTGTGTAGCTTGTTCCTCTGGAAAGCAAAAGAAATATTTGGTCAGAGAGAGACACCTGCAACTACAGGAGTGGGCAGAGGCCAAATTCCTTTTAAGAGTGGGAGAACACCCCCCAAACCCTGTGAATGGCTCCGTCCAGCCTGGGCAAGTCCAAAAATCTCTCCCCAGAGACTCTGCTGAGGGGAGAGGGTCCATCTCTGCTCTGGTGTCCATGAGATGCCAAACCCCAGGCATCTCCCCTCAGGGTTTCCCTGGACCGAAGGAATGCAGGGATGGAGAGGATGGGCTCTGGTGTCCCTGAGCTGCCCACCCCACCAGGCACATCCCCTCGTTGTTTACTCAGACCCAGGGGATGAAGGGGTGGAGAGGACGGGCAAGGTGGGAAAGGGTAAGCATAGAGGGGCAGGAGGATGACATCGAGCCCGGAGGAGCTCACAGAGACTCACCCAACAGTGCAGCTTGTTCCTCTGGAAAGCAAAAGGAATATTTGGTCAGAGAGGACAGCTTCTAATCACAAAAGTGCTCAAGAAGGAGTAAGCAGGGCTGGGGAATCCCCAATTTCCTCCTTTTTGGGGAGTAGGAAAGCACTTCTGGGTCCCCCCAGGGATGGCTTCCTCCAGCCTGGTCATGTCCCATGGCTGGTCCCCAGGGAGTCTGGGCAGCGGAGAGGGTCCATCCCTGGTCTAGTGTTCCCGAGTTGCCCAGCCCCCCAGGCACCTCCCTCGGGCAGGCCCAAACCCAAGGGTTGCTGGGATGGAGGGGATGGGGAAGGTGCCAAGCACAGAGCACCCGGGAGGGGACACCAAGCCAGGAGGAGCTCACGGAGACTCACCCAACTGTGTAGCTTGTTCCTCTGGAAAGCAAAAGAAATATTTGGTCAGAGAGGACAGCTTCTCATCCCAAAAGTGCCCAAGAAGGAGTAAGCAGAGATGGGGAAACCCCAAACTCCTCCTTTCTTGGGGAGTGGGAAAACACTCCCTTGGTCCCTAGGATGGCTTCCTCCAGCCTGATCAATTCCCACAAACTCTCCCCAGAGACTCTGGAGAGGGGAGAGTGTCCATCCCTACTCTGGTGTCCCCAAGCCGCCCACCCCCCAAGGCACCTCCCCCCGGGTTTTCCATGGACCCAGGGGATGCAGGGATGGAGAGG